AAAGTAGTAGAAGTTTGTAGAAGTTTCGTAAACAGACACACGAACAGACGGACGGACGGACAAAGGGAATCTAGTAAGCACTATTTTTCAAAAATTTTTTAGAAAAGTGTTAGAAATTAAATTGATTTTAATCCATAAATTTACGGTATAAAATTCTATATACGATATACGATAACAATCAAAGTTCTTTGTTGGTTAATTTCCTAGACGGTTATCAATCTGACGATCTTGTCAATCAAGTCAATCACTTTCATTATTTGGAAACGATAGTAATAAGCAGTTAAAATACTCAATTAGAACTAGAATTCATGACATCCATAACTTTTATAATTGGAAACGATAAAAAAATTTGCAAAAGCGCCGAATTTTAATATTTAAAGTTATACACATAAGAAAGAATTATAAAATAATTGAAAGTTTTTCTGTTATCACAGATATTGTTAAGTATACCCGTACATGAAAAAAAAAATTCCTACAAGAGCATATTTACTTAAAAAGTTTTGTTTTCCTCTTATTGCTTCAGATAAAAAATTACATAGAAAAAGTATTTTGACTGCTATTGAAATTTCATACGATACTTTTTCTCATATCTATTGTACAATTGAATGAAGATTATTTATTCATACTATTAAAACGATATAAATTTCAATGTATCGTTCACACCTTGTCTGTTTATAAAACAAATTAAATGGATTTAAGTCAGTCATACTTCTTAAACATGTAAACGGCTTAAAAACACGGTTTATTTCATGATTCTCCAATCATTTCTTACTTATATTCTTAACGTACTAACATAAATGAAGTTGGATTTATAACCCATTATCGGTCATTGTCATATAACCTATATCCTTTCTCCATACATAGCACAATGGTCGTTTATTGTTTTCAGACTGCAATTACTTATGATAAATTGAATAATGTAAATTAATAAAATTAACAAAAACAAGTAAAAACGTTTCAGTCGGTATAAACCGATTGAATTATACCCTGCACCTTTCGTTGTTGTATAGCAATTACTCAAACCTGTGAAACCATTCTATAGAAATTTCACGGATATGTCTGATTTATAACTGGACACACAACTGCCAAGTTTCATGAATCTGACTTTATTTTTTCAAATATTTAAACTTTTGGACTTGTATGGGAGCTACTCGTAGCTGTAGAGCAATTCAACAAAAACTTCAGAAATATATCTGACCTTTAATTCGACACACAACTGCTAAGTTTCATGAATCTGACTTTATTATTTTTCCAAAAATTTAAAATAAGCTTTTGGAGTTGTATGGCAAGTACCCGAACCTGTCAAGCAATTCCATCAAAACTTCAGAAATATGTCTGACCTATAATTGGACACACGACTGCCAAGTTTCATGAATCTGAATTTATTATTTTTCCGAATATAAAAAATTTGCTGTTGGAGTTGTATAGCAGCCACCCGAATCGGTGCAGCTATCCCATTATAATTCTTAGAGCATGTGTAGAATATAATTGGACACATGTATACAAAATTTTATATTTATAACTTTATTAGTTTTTGAAATATTTAAAATAAACTCTTTGAGTTGTATGGCAGCTACCCGAACCCGTTGTCCGAATTCGTCCAAATAACAATAGAGCTCGTCCTTAGCACAAAAGAAAAAAACTTGTGAAAGTTTGGTGTCGATTGCATTTTTCGTTTATGAGTTATCGTGCGATCGGACGGACGGACGGACGGACGGACAGGCGGACATGTCCATACCGCAGATGACTCCTTCAAGTAGTTACAAACTCCATACCAAAGTTAATATACCCTTCAAGAAGTGCAGGGTATAAAAAACTAAATTCTCATTCGCAAGCAAGGATTTTCCCAAATTGCTAATCAATTAACTACATACATACTTTGAAATACTCGTATTTCATATAATTTCAAGATTAAATGAAAAATTCTTGTCAAAACTGCAAGTATATAATTACTTCTCTTCTATAAAACTAATAAATTAAAATTTTTACCTTTGTTTTATATTTTAAGAAAATATTATTATTAGAAATTCTTCAATTAAAAATACTATATATTTATTTTAATTTAAAAATAATTTGTTTTCTTACATTATACATGGTGTTTCGCATAAGGCGGCAAATCAAGGATTATTCTTTGATCAATTTCCAGCAAAAATTGTTGGGGGGGGGGGGGGGTGGGGAGTCGTTTGCAGATATACTCGTTTTTATATGCTCGTGCAGGGAAATTCTGCTACTTTTTTTCAAAATGCTGTAAAACAAGTCTATTTGTACTACCCCTCCTCCTCCACGCTCTCATACAATTTTTTGGTGGGAATTGATTAAAAATTCATCCCTAATATTATTTCCCACCTTATGCAAATCACCCTGTATAAATCCTGAAAGTAGAAAAAAATAATCACTCAATTTGTTAGTCTAGAATTTTAGATATTAAAGGAGATTTAAAGTATTTTATCCATTCTGAAACAAAACAAAATTTTCTAAAATGAAGAGATAAAGTGTTATTAACTTTTATCTTCAATTCAAATGAAAATTGTATCCTTATGAAAAATATAAACCATATATAAACTTACCACAAGATTTTAAGTGAAAATACTTTCAAACTTTTTTTTTTCTTTATGAATTTTTCACACAATAGAAAAAATTTTTCTCATTCTTTGATATCAAAAGTATCAGAAAATTTTTCACTTGAATTTTGTTGAGTTGATCTTTACCTCTTTAAATCTTGTTATCTATGTACTTGAGATTTATTTTATATAATGATATCGTAATTTATAAAGCTAATTTTCTCAATTTTTATAATGTTAATCTATTTCTAAATGAGAATTGTTAAAAAAATAATAATAGTTAATTTTCCGAAAAAAAAAACAACGAGAAATTTTATTCATTGAAAATTGTTTTGAATAATCGAAATTTCTTTAAGGGTTATAGAATGTCCTGGACCATATTTATTATGCAAAGAAAAATAAAAGAAATTAACAAACTTTTCTTAAAAAGTTGCTTAAATTTTTGCTGAGTATTAACATCCGAAAAATGTTCCTTCGCATAAATTCTTCAATGTTATAGGAAAAAAAATTTACTTAAAAGTTTTTTTAAATAGTTTTTTCTCAAAGGCAATATTTTCATTTTGGGTGTTATAATAAAAAAAATCAAGTCAAAATAAAGAAAAAATTTAAAAGCCCAAAATGTTAGTAAAAATTTATACTGTCTTTAAAAATCTTACACAGCAAATTTTAAGAAAATTCTGAAGAATTTTAAAAAGAAAAGGATTCTATATATTTGGTGTGACAAGAAAATCTGATATTAACAAAAATTTTTCGCATCAAGATAAAATTTTCAATAAATCTTTTCAAAAATCGAAAATATAATTTGATATACCTTCCAAGTTGCAACGGAAAACCACGAACGTTACACGTTCTGAATTACGATGCAAAATTTAATATGATCCGAGTTACATGCTGATAATACAAAACAGGAGCTTATAGCATAAATTATTTTTTTTGGTTGGCGTTTGTTTTTTCATACTTGAGCTGTTAACTTTCAATTTATAAACGACATTATTTTCTATTTGCAAAACAAAAATTTATCAGCATTGTTCATGACAGCTGTATTATATTTACAATTAAGATGTCACAGAATACGTTAAGCACAATTCATTTAACACATTTCAATTCACAATCATGACTAATAATAAAACGTATTTTGCTTCTCTTAAAAAAATATTGACATAATAATTAATAAGATAATTCTGCCCATAAAACAATTAGTGAAATACTGTTAAAAACTCTTAAAAATTCCGACTTTGTAATTAAAGTATTTATTTGCTAAAATTTAAAAGCATCTTTATTTAGCTATGTATAGAATCAAAGGAACTGTGATGAAAAGTAGTCTAATTGAAAAAAAATCTAATATATACCAAGTTAACTACAAATTTTTTATTTACCATATTCATTCTTTTTTAGAAAAGCAGCAAAAAATTTCGATTCTTCATTTACAACTCAAATTTTCCATTTTAAATTCGTCAAATAATGTACTAAATTTCTTCTTCATATTCCTTGACATTAAATCAGGAAATTTCACTAAAATTATGAAATTTTAAAATTTCCATTAAAGTAAATCAAACAATAAAAAATATTAAAGTTAAGGTCAAGCCTATAAGGTTTCATCAATGGTTTATAAAATAAAATTTTTAACTTTAACAGATGAAAATACTGCTTTTAAAAATAATCTATGTATACCTATATTACACTACACTAAAATTACCTTCATTCATAAATCAAAATATTTAAAATTATTGCATACACTTAGGATGAAATAAAAAAAAGGATGAATTGCGTAAGTTAAGATAAATAACTATAATTTTTGATGGCATGGTATTTACTGTTATCTTCCTACGTTTATAGAAATTCCGGAGATCCTGCTGTTTCGGAGATATAAGATGCAAAAATATCAAAATTTTCAGATTTTAAAATCGCAGGGCGATAACTTGAAAGAAAATCGAGGTGAAAAATAATTTTCTTCTAACGAAATAAACTGCTTGCTAGAATCTAAAAGTATTTAAAATTTCAGACTCCTACAACTTATCGTCTATTATAAATCGTCTATTAAAAATTTTTATTATTTTAGGGGTTATATCTTTTAGAGGGGATGAGATAGTTAAAAATTTTCTTCCACAGAAATGAGTTTTAAGTAGAGATCTATTTGTAATGCCAGCTTTCCATCTCAAAGGATGTTGAAGTTTTGTAAACAGACACAAGAACGGACGCAGTGAAACCAATAAGCACTATTTTTCAAAATTAATTGGAAAACAAAGAATGTCAAAAAATTGTGAATCGATTTGTTTAATTCTTCCTTCAACAACTGAAAAATGTTGGTAATCCCGAAAAATGTTGCGAAGCCTTGATTTTAACAAATAAAAGAACACAGTAGGAGATCAGTACACCCTTCTTTAAAACAAGTTTTGTTGCAACTTATAATTTAGCTAAAGTTTCCATTTATCAACAAAGTTATAGCATACCATTGAAATGAATATATAAATTTCCTTTTTCAAATTTCATCCCAAGTTTAGGTAATCCTTCTCCAATTATTTCTTTGACGTAGCCCGGATGTATTACATCACTTATCAAAATATTTAATTTTCTACAATCAATTGTTTCTAGAGCCAACTGAAAACCACATAATGCTTGCTTTAAATCAACATCATATGACATGTGTAAATCACTTTCTTCTCGTGTGAATTTATTATCTGGTCTCTCAGTCACTATAAATATAATATCAGCTGGAATTTTTTCAGGAAATTGATCACCTTCTTCTTTAAATACAATCCTTGTATTTGTAAAAGTTCCAGGCGAAATAGGTACTATTAATATTTTTTCCCTAAAAATATAATTTTGTTAATATTTTCAGAAATTTCTTCACTTTTAATCATTAATTATGATTACCTACTTCTTTTCAACTTTTGATTTATCTTTATTGCATAATTCATATCGCAAAATTTTCATGCGTTTAATTGTCCCCATATAAATTTCTTTCAAATCCAAAAATATATTCTTTTCTATTGGATCATCTTTACATTTAAGACAAACTCCATTTTCAGTTGCATATAATAATGGTGGCTTAAAAATAGCATCTATTATATTCGCATACGGTGTTTCGGAACCAAAAACTTCATCATATGTTTTAAAACAATCGCCATGATAATTATATGGTTGAAAATAACCATTTGGTAGCGGTACACCATTATATAATCCGTACGTTCCATACCTATCGTAAATTTCTCGCCGCAACGGATGAGCTAAATTCAAAGAAATTAATAAATAATTATCAAATATTCAACAAGCTTTGAAAATCGAAATTTTATAAAAATTAAAATAGGAAATTGTACATAGAATATCATAGGCACGATTTATAAGTATCCATTGGATACAATATGGAATATGTGGAAATTTTCTTTTTTCACAATTTCCATCTGATGGGAGCAATGCTGATATCATTTCTTCATCTCTGTGAGGATGACATTCTATTGCTCTGGAACGATATGCAAGCGTTATTGCTTCTTTAGTTGCATCTCTAGCTACATTTAATATTTCATAAAAATCGTATTCTTGAGATGGATTTGTTTCTTCATAATAATTTTTTTCTTTTAACTCGGGCATGTTATTTCCGTGTGAAATAAATTTAAATTAAAAATTTATTCTTTTTAAAAAAATGACTTTTGCTCAACAAAATATTTAAAGCGAATGTTGCTTTGATAGTTAATAATTTTTAATTCGGAAACAGTGAATAATTACTTATTTGAATTTTGAATCGTCTAACAAACAATGACGTTAAAAAACAACTTAGTTTGTATTCTCTATATGCTATGTAATATTAGATATATTTAGTTTAATAATACTAGTTTAAGTTCCAAGTCTGAAAACTTGATGGCGTAAGTGTAGTATTAAGTATAAATGGTTTATTTTAATGCAACTTCTGTTTGTGGCTAGGTTTTTGTATTGGATAACATTGACTGACAAATACATTGGAAACATTGAAAAAACGAAAGTTCCTTATTTATTTACTTTTATTAATCAGTATTGCTTTGACTTAGACATTTACATAGATTAGGATCTCGCATTGCTTACACTCTTATTTTCATGCAGCTTCTAGAAACACCTGTATTAGATCACGACAATGTTAAATTTTATGAGAAATTCAAAATTTAAAAAGTTTAATAAGGTTTTGTTATTTATAGTAATATGCAGTGGACGAAAACAGAAAACATGATCGAAAGAGATTGAAAATAAAAATAATAAAATACAAAAATCTTAGGAATAAATCTTAAACAAATCTTGGTTAAACAAAGGGGATTTTCGGTAATTTAGATAAGCACTTAAAGTTCTAACTTTAATCTTAAAAATCTATTTCTACATCATTACAGATCTGCAGGAGCTACTTAATTTACTTCTTCAGATTATTAATGTATTACATTCTTCTACAATGTTTGTTTTAATTTAAAATATTTTTGCAACGTTTAAAAAACTCTTTAAAAACGCTTTAGAACTTTAAACATGCTACGATTTTGAAACGTGCTTCTTTCGTGCTTATAGTAAGATCTAAGGTAATTTTTAAAACATTTATATTTCACAAACTTAATAAATTATATAACTATTATATATTATATATAATTTATTCATTGCGAAATTCTAAGTTTTTTAAATATTAAATACTAGTAGAAAATTAGTAATTTCATTCACTATTTTATTAAAATATTAGAATATTAGCAAATTATTAAAATATAGCACCAAATTATTAAATAATAGCGCCAACCACGTTTTACCTTTTTATCAATTAATAAAAAAACTTCAAAGTTTCTGTTGCAGCAAGAAGCAAAGCACTAACTGAACTAATAAAAACTGCACTTTTTTGGAAAAGTTGAAAAGGAAAAGCAAAAGAAAAGATGATTGGTGCAATTGGGCTCTGCTGCAATTCGTATGATGCAGGATCTAAAAGAATATTTTTTAAAATTTTGTTTTGATTCTCTTAAATGTAATTTTCATTCCATAAAAGATAAAAATTGATATGCCTAAAAAATTATTCGTAAATTCTTTAATTTTACATTTTTTTAACATATTTTATTTTTACCAACCTCACTAGCATATTTACATAGAATTCAGCATTTACATACATATATTACTTTGATTATTACATAAAACTTAACAATCTTATATGAAAATATGAAGATAAATTTCCTGTAAGTAGTGAATATATTGAAAATGTTGAAGTTTTCTTTATTGAAAAAATATGTAATATTTTGCTTATAATACATTTTATTCAAAGCCTTTTTAAATTATTATCTTATATTGAACAAATTTTGTCTCTTCTATTAAAGTAAATGTTTTGTAATTTATACTACATTTTGATTTTTAATATTACGAGACATTTATAATTAACAATTTATGTTCACATAAAAAATAATAAATACTGCACATATTTAATTATGTTATTTACAACTTTGTAAAATTTTATTCATGTAATTTTATATTTATATATGTATGACATAACAATAAAAGAAAATTAATTAACTCGAATTTTGTTTATTTATATTAAGATTAAGGAAAACATTTGCTTTTCTTTTAATTCAAGTAAATAAATTTAATTTTCTTGAATTTTTCAAATTGGTACGCTTTTGTACAATTTAGAAAAGAACATCATCATCACCTTCGTCAAGCATATTAGCGGCATTCATTGCACGAACATCAACTCCTTTTTGTAATAATTCTTGCTGGAGTTTTTCAGCTTTTGCACGTGCTATACGTTTTTTATCTTGAATTTTTTTTAAGCGATAAAATTCTTCACGCTCCAATTCATCTAGTTCAGAAATAATGTACGCTAATGTACGATCAATACGAGGAATAATAACTGAAAATAAATATTTGGATTAAAAAAGAACGATACTTATATATACAAAAACTCTTACCATGTTCAATTGCATTAACTCTTCTGTTTGTGATTTTTATAACTTCATCTAGTGTTACGAAAGAAGTTTGTAGTGATGCTAATTCTACTAATAATTTTACAGCACTTTGATAATTTTTCTTTAGTTTTTGAACTTGTTGACCACCACGAGCTAAAGCTGTTAATTCGTAAGTATCTGCACCATCTTGATATGACTCAAAAACTGGTAAAGTTACACCAGCTACATTATCTTTTTTAGTACGAATTTTAATCTGTGCTTTAGTTACATCTTGTAGAACGTAATGATTTAAATCTCCGGTAGCAAATTTAGCTTCAGCTAAGGAAAATGCTGCTTCTTTCATTACTTCACCCATTAATGTTTTAGTCTAAAAATATATTTGACAATCAATGGATTAAAATGAAGAGCAAAAAAGCAATGTATGTATGGATATAGGTACCTCAATTATTTTACCCAAAATTAATCTGAAACGCATTTGTAAAGCATCAGCTTTTTTCTTTAAAAGACCATGTCCTTTTTGTGCTCCAGCAAGACGTGATTTCATTAACATCTGCGCCCTAAAGAAATTATTACAGAATCAGAATAAGTATGAATTATGTTATCTTGTTAAAAATAAATTTTTCACCATTTGAACAATAATTTTTTCTATAATATTAATTTACTTACCCTCTAGAAGGGAAAATAGCTAATCTATCTTTTCCAGACATATTTTGTAGTAATTTATTTTAAAAGAAAAATATATTTTTCTATACTCCTGCAGCAATTTTATTGTAGGTCAGCTGACAAATGTCTTAATATTTTCTTCTACCTTGCAAAAAAACAAAACAACTATATAATAAAAAAAAAATTTTGACAGTCCCTCTGTCTTTGAATATGTGCACAAAAAAAGTTGAATTTATTTACTTTTATTACAGACTCAAACCAATTATAAAAAAATAATAATTGTGAATAAAAGCAAAAATTCAAAATCACTATAATTTTCAAAACGCAATAATTTTTAAAATTTCGTCTGTATTATTTTTTACTTAATGATAAACACAAAAAATTCTATTAAACACGAAATTAAAAAAAAAAATTAATAAAAAATGTCAAAAAACAATTATCAGAAGAAAAAATTTAAACTTTATAGTGTATAGTCGTATAAAAGCAAAATGCCTTTATTAGCAAAACTAAATTAATTTTACACATTTTGGTACGTTTTGTCCGCTCTTGGCACGAAAATTTTGTTTAATCTCGTTCAAAACTCAATTTATCATAAAATGTACTTCTCCCCTATAAGCTTAAATAAAAATATCTCCTGAAAATGTCATTGAAATCTTTGTTATGCTGCGCGCATACATAAGTATAGAAAACTCTCTTTAGAAGGTAAATTTGTGCTTGTAGCCGAACTCGTGCAGTTCGGCTACAAGTACATACAAATTTCGATATTTCTTATTAGCGTGTCCCACTGATATACTAAATTTTTTAAGTTTGGAGTGGTATATCAGGACATATTATTTTTTAAGTGAAAAACACATTCCTCTCATTTAAATTTTATATTACACTTTGCTATACACGATATAACAAAATTGCCGAGAACTTTTATATACAAAACTGATAAATTCATTCACAAGTTAGACATTTAAAAAGTTTTTAACGCATATTTTTATTATTTTTATTTTTTGAGTATTTAAAATTTTTTTTTTTTTTAATTTTTTCACTGAAGAAACAATGCCAAATGAAGAAATTGATCTGCCGCATACAGCAGCAACCAAATCAATATAAATGATTTTTTTTTCGGAATACACAAACTGTTATACTATTTATATTTTCTAAATGTATTATTTTGTTCGAGAATTATGAAAACTTTAAAGTATAATAGTTAAATAATTAACATAATATAACAATTAACATATAAATTTATATATAATAAGCGGTTTTTAACTTATTATACAAAAAATAACGGTTTGTAAATTTTATTACGAAGGAGTAAAATATAAAATTGAAACCACCTGTTGTAATTCCTTTTTCAAGATGTATAACATTATTATCATCATAAGTACGAGTATATACTTATAAACTTACAATGTGGCGCATGCACATACGTACATATATATTTTGCATAACTAAAGTACATATACGTATATAGGTAGTAAGAACAACGTATATCGAAACCTATAACGAATAATAATATTGTTAAAACATTTTCTATTTAAATAATTTTTTTTATAATTATATTATTCCTACATAGTATATAAATATATTACACATATAGAAAATTAGCTATACATATATATATTTACTTATCTTAATGTATATTTATTATAAATGCTTTAAAACAATGAATTTTCATTTTTAATACGTACCAAATTCAATTATACGTGTGTGTTCTACTTAAAGAATTTTTAATGTTAATGTTCTACATAATATAAAATATAAAACTTATACCTATAATATTAAAACTAAAAGCAATGTCCTCTTAAGAAAGGATATTCGCTATAACTAAAATATAAGAGGTATTATTTAAATCCCATAGTTTTATATATATATATTATAGATGCATAATAATTTATATATACGAGTATAATAGACAATAATGTATATTCATATGTACAATACTATAATTTTATATTTACATAATATTATATTTTACGTGATACTATGTTTTTGTATTTCATGCGCACTTTATCGAAATTATAAGAATAATATAATCAAAGATGAGATTCTGTCCTTAAATTTTTATTTATTTTGAATTAGAAATATTAATTTTTTATTTGTTTTTCTTATTCATTATTAAATTTTTTGCAATATAATTCAAATCAAATTGAAATGCTAGCGATAAATACAAAAACAATACTTCTTAAACGATTATATGCTTGCTTAAAAAATTACTAAATTTAAAACTGTTCTACAAAAATACTGTAATACATATAGAGCTTATGGGACCTCTACCCAGCTAAAGGGAAAATTGTAAAATACATACTTTGCAATTATCAAAAAAGGCATACTAAATTCAGGAATAGTATTACAATATTTTGGAAAATAAAGTATAATTTTTGTTGATCAAGACTCCATGTACACTTGTAATGAATTGAAGAGAAATAATATTCTTCCTAATAAGTTTTTTCCTAATAATTTCAAAATATTTAAAAATATCTAATAGAAAGGTTTTATTCGCTTAAGCCCTTGAATATTTTTCGATTTATATCAGCCTTTCTAAAATAGAAAAAAAAAATTTTTCGAACGCATAAAAAGACAGAATCTTCCGGCCAAATTTAAAGATTATCAAGACTATTGTCCATTTTAACTATACGAGTATGATAAAAATATTCAGACTCACAGAAATAATAAACTTGTATGTTTACACTATAATCAAACATATACACTACAAAATTACATTAAAATGTCTTGCTTATCATACAAATTTCATGGAAATTTATTTTCATCTATTGCCACTTTCTAGTTTGTTATTATCAGTGATTGAGATATACGAGTAGTTGACGAAATTAAATAATTAAATACTTAATTAAATAGTTTTTTAAAAAGAATTCAAAACAAAATAGTTTTAAAATGAAGTGAAGATGAATGATAGTTTTAAGTTTGAAAGGATGATAAAAATTATTGTTTTAATATAGCATAGTATAAAAAATAAATAATGGCTTGTATCCAAGATAGTTAAGTGATCAATTGACAATATTTGGTGGATGATATTCATCATTATCATTTGCGTAAGATGTTTAGTTTTAAATTGAACTTGTTCATGGGTAGAGAAAATTAAAAAGATGTTGATGTATAACAGCTTGCAACTACTTAATTCAACATTAATTGATGTTAAAGAATAAGTTGACTTAAAGAAATTTCAAATTTCATTTACTGATTTTGATATATAAAAATTTAAACATTATAAGGAAAATTTCATGAATGAAATTATAAAAAATAATTATTTATTTATTAAATTATTAATTATTAATTAAATTATTTTTTTTTAAATTATTTAGGTTTTGTAAAATTCACTGCGTATCTAGCCTTAAAAAATGACATCTCTGCGGATAATATATTGTATTTTCTGTGTATGTATAACAGTTTATCAAAAATGATTTCATAAAATTATCTTCATTATATGTTAGGTTTTCTAAATTTGCTCATATATGTATAATAATAATAATAATAATAAAAAATAAAATTAAATAAGATGAATTTAAATTAATTTAAATGATTTTTTTCTTTTTTTATTTCTTATGTGTATATATGAACGTTTTTTTATTTATTTTTTTTTTTTTTTTTTATTGAAATTTGTCTTTACTACTCTACACTATATGAGTAATTTTAAGGATATGTGAGAGAATTAGCATGAGGTTTTCTTTATATATATTTTTTTTTCCAGATTTTTTATTTTGTACCTACATATGTATGTATAATATCGTTTTGCGCTTATTTATGATACATTATTTGTATGTATATACTATTAGATGTATTTAAGAGTAAATTGAAATCAAATTCAGAAATTTATAACAATTTTATAATTTACGTTTGTTATATATGTTGTAGACTTGTAGAACCTCATTTATAACCTAATTAATTCCATAAATACTTGCTTAAAACTTCAAAGTATAACTTGGATATATATTCTATTTTCTCTTTAACACTATTAAGTAAATTTCTGTTGGAAACTGGTAGACTAATAGGAAAGCCTTTCTATTTGAATATATTTCGATATATTGTCTTGATTGATAACAGTCTTGATTAAATTTAATAATAGCGAATCTAATAATAACTCGTATATCACTTCTATTTATTCCTTAAAATTCTAATTTCTCATTTACATTGTTATTATTAACAAAAATTCAATATTAAATATAAATATATGTAAGAATTAAACAATTATTTTGTTGATTTCAAGGCATAATATTCTTATTATACATTCATACACCTTTCAGGACATTACAAAATTTTATATCCTAATAAATATTATTAAAAGTATGAATATTGTATTTTACCTCCTTGTTATATTTTATTTACACGAAAAGTGGTACTTAAAGACCTTGAGCGTTTTTCTGTACGAGACATCTTTATGTGTTATACTTCATAATAATAATTATATAAAACGAGTATCTGTATATGTATAATGGGAATCAGGGAAAAAAAAGGAAATCAAAAAGTTGAAAAAAAAAACAAAAGAGTAATCATAAAAATATAAACCTAAAAAACTTAAAAAGGAATAAAAAAAAAATATAATATTTTTTTCTATTATTTTCTTTTCTTGTTTTGTTTTTTTTGTTTTACTTCTACTCTAGATATTTTGTGCAAGTTTTTTACTGTTGTGTCTCAGTTATATTTTAGTATTGAAACTTATTGGATCCTTGGTGTCACATAATTTATTATTGAGGTAGTTGTAAAAAAATAGTATCGGTTTTATTTTATATTATACAAGTATACATATATACATATAAATTTATATATATATATCAGTTTTATCAGTTTACAATTTAACACAAAAAAAAAGAGTACAGATGCCTTGAATGCAATTATAATTTAAATATATGCACCTATTTATTTAAAGCAATATAGTTTCAATAAAATTTTAATAAAGTGGAAACTTGTAAAAGCAATTCCTTAATAGAAAGAAGAAATCATATTTAGAATAAATTAAATTATATATTAATTATAGCTACATTTATATTAAATTATTTTATTAGTATGTACAATAAGAAAATATTAATTTGCAAAAAGAAAGAACAAAAAATGAATAGAAAATTACAAAAACAAAATTTATCAATAAAAATCAAATAACTATATTATATAGAAAATATTAATATATTTTTAAAAATTTAAAATAAAAATCAAAGTCCTTAAAGGATGAGAATACCATATAATAATACACGATACCTATATGCGAAATGAAAAACTAGTATGGAAGGAATATGTGCATAGAAAAGGAAAATAAAATACATAACTAATTTAATATATATATATATATATATGTTATTATGAATGATAACATTTTCTGTATAATTTAATAAAAATAACAATTTATCACTTCTTAATATATTTAATTTGATTTGAAAATTGAAAACTTTCGTATTGTATTTCTTACACTTCTTAAAATACATATAAAATTTTTCTCAACTAACAACATGTTATATTCGAAAATATTGCATATGTCTAGGATTTTCATTTATTTATTTATTTTTTCTATATTATACTAAACAAAAATGTAATTGTATTAATAAAGGGACCTTTAGACTTTCAATTTTTCTAGAATTTCAAAAAGTATAATAGCTATATTATGTAATTTGTATTATACAATAATAATCAAAGTTACAATATTAAATTATTATGATAATAAAATTAAATGTGACATAATAATTTTTAAATTTATAAGTTTATATCTAGATACTTTTATATTTGTATTAAAATTCAAGTATCAGCCCATAAATTGTTGTAGAAATTGTTGTATCAGCCCATAATTCTACATACGTGTTGTAGAAATTCTTTTATAATTAAAATACTTATTGTAATCATTTTTCGTCAAAATTTCTAATTCTTGATAATACCAGATTCTTTGTATTTCTGTAAGATTTTTCTTTGTTAAGATTTTCCTAAAATCAGAATGAAATTAATTCTGATTGAAATTATTTTTTTAAATTATTTTATACACTACTCATATTTAATATTTTTATACCTTCAATAGATAAATTGGTAATAATATTAAATTAACAATATTAAATTGGTAATAATATTTTTATGGTAAATATTTTTAATAATAGTTACAATTATTGACACTCGAATAAAAGCTATTGACATAGTATAAAAATACAATTGTTGACATTATGTAGATTGTTATAAAAAATTAAAGAAAATAACGTTATTTAAATAAAATATTATAATTTTATTGCAATAATTTAAACACAGGAAATTTAAAATTTATAGGGATTTAAGTTTATCATTATAAGTACAAATTATATTAATATAATATGGAGAAATTCCTTTTGCCAAAAATAACAATATTTAAAAAATCAATTCGGACGATTCTAAAGCTAGTTCGTAGCTTTTCTTAAATATTGACTTATAATTTTATATTCCTTAAATAAATAAAAATAATATTGAGTTATTTTAATTTTATTTAAATGTTTATTTATTCACATTTCTTCTCAGATATCAAAAGCAAATTTTAACAACTTATAGGCCAATTAAAATTCGGAATTTAAATAAAAAAGACCGGTAATATTCTTAAATTTATATTATATATGATTATATGCATAAACATGTACACAAAGAATAAAATTATATATAATTTTATTTTTAAATTTATCAACAATATTTTATATTTTAATTATTATTTTAAGTTTATAATGGATTATAAATTAATAACACCTGAGTATTATGAAGAAGTTATAAAACATTTGAGAAATACATTTTTCTCTGATGAACCATTAAATAAAGCAGCTAATTTATGTGAAAAAGGTGAAGGAAATCCAGATTTGGAATTACATAGTTATAAAACATTGGAAGATAATTTAAGTATTATGGCAATAACGGAAGATGATGAAGTATATTTTTTAAATATTTTAATTACATGAACCTTTTAATGAATAATAATTTTTTATATTTTTGTATATTTTAGATTGCTGGAGTAATTTTAAATGGATTAGTAAGAGCAGATCAAAATGCTTGTCAAAAAAAATTGGATTTATCAAGTGATGAAAATTTTAAAAAAATTTTCAATTTATTAAATTACATTAATTCCAAAGTGAATTTTTTTGATATATTCAATATTGATAAATTGTTTGATATCAGAATTTTATCAGTTGATTCAAAATATCGAGGTCGTGGTATAGCAAAGAATTTAATTGAACATAGTATTAAAATAGCAAAAGAATTTAATTTTGAGGTATGTATATATAATTTAAATAATTAAAATATTTGTTATATATTTTAAAATAAAAAATAACCATTACTAAAACAGATAATTAAAGCTGATGCAACCGGAATGTTTTCACAAAAACTTTTAAGATCACATGGATTTGATATTATGACCGAATTATATTATGATAAATATGTTGATGAATTTGGTAAACCTATTTTAAAAGTTGAATCACCGCACATTAAATTGCAATTACTTTATAAAAAAATTGCTTAAATATAAATTATAAATAATAAAACGAATAAATAAACCAACAATAATGTATGTAGAAAGAAACCATATTATATAAAAATTATAATTGAAATAAAATTTAATATTATGGTAGATTACTGTTTGTACCTTTGTTGAATGTGGACCAAAGAAATTTATTGAAAAAGTTAAAACAAATACAATAATAAATAACAATATTAAATACTAAATTGCAAGTTATTAAATAAAATTATATTTTTATTATTTTATATGAAGAAGAAAACCTGAAAAGTATTATTATATTTACAGTACATAAAATGTTAAAGATGTAAAAGTATTATTTTAATATAAAATTTAATAATTAAAAAAATTGAATAAGCATTTAATTTATAATGCATTTCTTTTTAACATATTTACATATATTAATATAAAAGAGGATTTAAGTCTGTTGTGTTGTTTTTTTTTTAAGAATTAAAATATAATATTTAATGATTTCTAGAATTAAAAATTTTATTTAAAAACAAAATTTTATACAATCTTTTTAATATAATCAATAAAAATGATAAAAAACTAAAATACAAATTCATATGAATTAAAATTTATATTTAAATTCTTTTTATATTATTTTTCACTTACAAGTTAATAAATATTTATTAACCATAATTGTCTATAACGTAGTATCTATGTGTAATTATTAATGTTGATGTATACACTATAATATTATAATATATAAATGATTTTTAATAAAAATTATTTAAAAAACTGAATATTTTTGAATTAATATTTTAATTGAAAATACACAGGTACCATTATGTATCAAAATTTTTCATGTAAATATTAATAAATACCTATGCACATATTAAATCTTGTACAAATTTCTGCTTTCAATATGCTACTTTATTATGTATTATAATTTAAATCCTGAATGAATTGAAACTATTCCAAATGATAAATTTTCATAATTGGTACCAAAAAACCCAGCATTTTTAATCATTTGTTTAAAATCTTCTTGTTTTGGAAATTGTCTTATACTTTCAACTAAATACTGATATGGTTCCCATGTTCCAGCTAATATTTGACCCATCGGCGGTATCACTTGAAATGAATATTGATCATATATCCATTGAAAAGTTGAATTAGTCAAATGACTAAATTCTAGGCACATAAATCGTCCACCTGGTTTAAGTACGCGGTAAGCTTCTTGCAGAACCTAGAAATTATAGATATACTTTAATATTTGCATGATTATTATTTAAGTAAACTTAAGTATACTTAATTTTTTTTAAATCTTACTTTATCAATCCGAGTACAATTTCTTATGCCAAATGCTATCGTATATGCAGTAAATGTTTCATTTTCAAATGGTAATTTTTCAGCATCAGCACACACCCAATCAATATTTATGTTTTTAAAATTTTTTTGATTATATCCTAATTTTTCTGATCTAGATTTCCCAACATTTAACATATTTTGATTTATATCAGAAATAGTAACATGACTAATTTGATTATTAAATGGTAAGTTGTTTAAATATTTTATATAACGAAAAGCAATATCTCCTGTTCCACCAGCCATATCTAAGAGTCTAGTTCCAGGTGTTGGATGCAAACGATCCATAAAAATATCTTTCCAAATTCTATGTAAACCAGCAGACATCACATCATTCATTAAATCATAAGATGTAGCCACTTCTTCAAAAACCTTGTGAACTTAAATAATTTCAATATAAAATTATAAATATATGAATGTAACACATATTCAAATTAATTGTAGAATACCTTTTTTATCTTTTTCACTTTCCTTAACTGTTTGGAATCCGAAATGTGTGGTTGAGTCTTCTGTATTTGCATTTGGACTAGAATATGTTCTACCATTTAATATTAATGGCAACAAACTTTTGATAGGGGTAGTTGATTTTGAAAATAAAAATTTTCTTGAAATCCACATTTTTTCAATAAAAATTTAGTTTATAATTTCTCAAAACTGAAATAAATAGCAAACCAAGATTTATTTACAATCTCATTAAATAATAAACTTACCTTTCAAATATCAAAGCAAGTGTTTTTTATAAAACAGCTGTTTACAAATCAGCTGACTTCTTAGAAAGGTAACCATCTCTTAAAAATTTGTTGTACAATAAAGGAACATTTTTAATTCCATAAGCGCACAATTAGTTTATAAGTTCAAGTCGAATCGTATAAATTAATAAACCGGGGCAGTAAATATTTATATAGGAACTGTGACCCACTCCTACAAGATTTCTGTGAACAGTATTTGTTTTCATAAAAAAAAAACTAGATGGTCCGTTCTTTAGTTTCGGAAATATTCGAAGTCATCACTTTTTTTGGTAAGGCTCTTAATTGCTTAAAAAAAATATTATGTATCACATTTCCGGCCGAACATTAAGTGAAAATCCTGTTTCATTATTCTAATTTTACACAATCTTTAGAAGTTCCAAAATCGGGACATCTTTGTACCCTGACTACAATATTTTTTGTCAGATTGAACAGAGTTTTTGCCATTCAATCTATCATAGAAATTGCATATTATGTACTTTTAAATCTTTACTTTACATATTTCGAGAATAAAGAAAGAAAAATATTAATTTATCTTGATTTTAAATTTCAAAACTTTTCAATAATGGAAAATACTTCAGAAAAAATCGTTGAAGCGAGTAAAAGCAGTACTGATAAAAAATATCGATTGCAAGGTTAAATTGAACTGATTTTTAGTAACTTTAAATTATCTATGCATTTATTCTCGGAATTACAGCAGCGGCTTTTTTAGGAACGGTAGCTTCCATATCAGCTTTAATAGGTTTTTCGAAAACACTAGCCAGTGCTAAAAAAGATGAACATAAGCTTATAGAAAAAGGAGGTGTCGAGGCTGTTAAACTTTTAGAAGGAGGTACAGCATTAGCTAGTAGAGCCTTAGCATGGGGTACTTTATATGCGTTTTTGGGAGTAGGTACATTTTGTTTTGGCGTTTGGAAGTTATCAGGAGCTAAAAATGTGATTTCTATTGTGAATATTTGTCAAATTAAAATAGATGTGTAAAAGTATTTATTTTATAGTTTGAAGAGTTTAGATATAAAGTTGGAGCAGGTTTACCTAGATTAACAAAAGAGGGACCACCAACTAGTCGAACAGAATTCGAAGGACTCACTGATTTGATGTTATATTTAGAAAAATGGGGTAAATAAATGCCAAGATAGGTAAATAATAATAAAATTTATTTGCAATTTTCTTAAGCACTGCTCTATACGCGTTTTAAAAGAAAAATTGTGCTGATTTTATGTATAAACATTACCATTTGATGAAATTTAAAAAAAAAATAATAAAAACAAAATGGGTGACTTTTGTGATAAAAGCAAGAAACTATTTATTGTAATTGAATAGCATAATTTTTATAATATTGTTTTTATACGCGAGAACATTACATGAATATCGTAAGTAAAAACTGTTATATAATAGGTAGTTATAGGTAGTAAAATTAATTAACTAATATACAATGCGTTTGATTTTTTAATAATACTTTTAAATCACTGTTCATTGAATGAAGCCAATATAAAATTAAATGGAATTTGCATCATTTGAAACAATCACGAAAACAGTAACATATAATTATACACAATATTATGAAGAATGACTAGAATTTTGTAGGATAATCATTTTAAAATGCGTGAATGAATATTTTATATTATTTACTTTAAACTAAGCTGCACTGTAAATTTTTTCTATTTCAAGAATGTAATTAGGTATATTTTAATAAATTACTCTTCTACATATTAGAACCTCAGTGCTTCAGAACTTTAAATAATTTTTAGCATCTATAATTTTAATCAACAGCTAAGGCGCATTTTTCTTCTTCAACATGACCAATACATTCAACTGCCGGTTGATGAGCTGAATCCCAAATTCCTGGACCACATCTTTTACATAAGCCAGAAAGAGTGCATGGAATTTTCGATAATTGTCGATAATGATGTAGTAATCCTCTTGCCTTTCTTAGAATAAGTTCACCATCCATATACATTGCCAAAGAGTGAAAATGTAATATCATTTCATTAGAGTTTAAATTTTGAGAAATAACATCTTCAGCGTAAACCGCTGTTATAGATAGGCATAAAAATAAATGGAAAAAATCGGTAAGATAATTAGACCAACATGCTTCCCACATTTGAATAACGATTGATTCGGTGAATTCCCTTTTAAAATATTGTAACAGCCATCGGTGACAGAACAAAAGTTCATTATCATCACAGTGCTCCTTTAAATAATCGTTAAATCTAGGAAGCATAATTCGAATTAATTCCCTTAAGTATTTAATATTTTTCTTAATTTCGTCTTCTTGAAATGATCGTACAGCAAAAATTGGCTTCTGCATAAGACCAACAAAACACCAAAATGCTTCAGATTCGTTGTTTATTTCAACCAATATTGGTGCGAGAAGATCACTCATTCCTTGAGTATATTTTCCATTGCTATAATACGCATAATTTAATAAAATATTTTTCATTTTCTCTAAACTAACTTTATCGTTTTCTAAATACGAAGGATTACGATGTTCAGTTTCGATAATGTCTTTCTCAATAACGCATTGGACTGCTCGCCAAAATTGAGCCTGTTCTTCAGGTGACATCGTGTAATTTCGTCGTCGACAAATTTCTTCATATTCTTGCATACGAATATTAGCCAAATGTGCGCGATCTTCAAAAGTTGAACTGAATAGATAGCAGTGTAAAAGAAAAGGCCAAACAGTTTTACGTAAACATTTCTCTAATCCTCCAAAGAAAATGCTTTTTCTCAAAAACACTTCATCTTCTATTTGCCCTTTTTCGTTCAAAATGATTCCATAAAAACTATCTGTAGTAATTTTATTTACTTTTCCTTCGTCTGGATGTAATTCTAGTTGTTTTATTTCAGGGCGACAAACTAAAAATTGTTTGTAAAATAAGTTTGAATCTTCCTGATCCTGGCCTGACACCAACTTTACATTATGCAATATACAGTGCCATTGATGCAGCACCTGTGCTAAATGATCTAAGCCACCGTAATGAAAATGTAATACTTTTAATTGGTTCTCCCGTGAGGTAATAACAAAATGTCCAGAAGTACAACGTTCATCATTAAAAAACAAACGCAGGGATCTCATTTGACTTAAATCAATCGAAAATCTTTTACATTTAAAATAATTTTTTTGAATAGAAGCCGGAGATGTACTTGAACTTTCTGAAGAAGAATTATATTTCAAATCCATAACATCTGAATAATGATCAATGGAATTATCTTCATTTATAGCATCTAACGGAGTAGCGCATAGTTTTTTGTACCTCGCTATATCTATTTCGTTTAGAGGCGTATGTATGTTTTCAATGCAGGGATTTGCAATTGTTATATTAACTGTGATTTTTCGCTTTGAATTAAAAGGATTTGAATGACATCTTATATTTTGCCGATTGTTACTTAATAATGGTTGAAGTTCTTGTGCCTCAGTTCTATACATATCCTCTGAAGTTTCTGAATTGCCAGTAAGCTCTTTTTCATTGTTATCAAATGGTACCTGAACATTTTCACAGCTTCTACTTTTTCTATTAAATTCAGCTATGTCATCCGTACTTTCATATCCACCATCAGCATTTGAGTAACTTGTACATTCATCAACACTTTGAGTTGAAGTTATAGTTGGTGGGACATAATATGGTTCTATAAAAGGATTAGTATTGTTACATATAATTCTAGTGATTGACCCGTTTTTTATAGAATTTCTCTCGGATACCACCAATTCCTCAGATTTTTTATTGTTTTTTTGATTGTTGTAAGTAGAATAATTTGATTGATTTTTTTCATTTTCTAATGATTGGCATTTTTTAAGGGTGGAATTAGGAATCCATGTAAATAATAGCGTGGATCTTTTGGCTCCGTTATGTTGATCAACAAATGTTTTGGTATTTAAAATAACATATCCTGGGCAGTGCAGCACATCTACATCTTCACTAAAAGGAGCTTGCGGATGAACACAAACGTTGTTTTTACAAAAGATCACTTCGTTTTCCTCTATGGAACTGCTAACATTTTCAACCTTTTTCTTTAATTTATCATTTCCTAAAATATACTCAGAAGCCTTTTTTAAAATATCTGCAATGGGCATTTTTCGGAATGTTATTGTGTTAGATCAGTGGTACAAGTCTAATCTTTGATACCGATAATTCAATTCACATAAAAATTTTATTAACGACATGCATTTACACAGTTTCGAAATAATATTTTATCGCCCCTTAAAGTATATAATTTTATTTGCTTAATTTTTAGCCGTGTTTAATTTAGTCAAATAGAATTTTTTGCAGACACGAAAATTCAGATTCATTTTTTTAATCTATTTTGACAATTGACATAATTAATTGACAACGGATTTTGCTTTCAATTAAATTACTGTCATTTTTGAAATATAATCAAACAAATACATCTTCTGATAACACTTAACCTAGCAATGAAAAAAGTCTTAGGGTCTGGCCTAAAAAGGCAGCGTAGAATTTTCATAGTTTCATTGTTACTTTCCATTTCATGATGAACATGTTTTTATCAATCCACAATAAAATAATTAAGCTCGATTAATCGAAACATCGGTTTCACAACGAGGTGCTATATTTTGTATGAAAATTTGAAAATTTGTTGTCTCAATCTCTTAATTTTTTTTGCAACTTTTTTCTTCGTCTCAAAAAATTTAAAACAAATTCAACTTTAGTGCGGAAGCTTTTTTTAAAACATTAATTATTTATATTATTAGCTTACATACTTAATTCAATAATATACATACTATTTTTCGTCAAAAAATGTTAAATAAAATGTAAAAAAATATTCCACTCAGCTTATTTCAGACAATGAAATTAACTATTAAAAGAAAATTTTGTTCGTCTCGAAATTAAGCTGAGCTTAAAATTTAAAAACTAATGTATCCATGTTTAAGAACAAAATGAAATATTAATCTCTACATCGCTTTACAAGATCTTATTAAATTTTCACTCAGTTTATTAAAATTTAATAAGTTTTGTCTCTAAGAGTGAGTTATTTTTTCAACAAAAATTATTATTGAATTTTTTAATAAGTTGTATTAATATCAAGATATTTGTTGACGTTGTCAATTAATAACTCAGTAAATTGATTGGAAAAAAAAAAATAAAGTGAACATCATTTCAATTATAAATTTATGTATTTCATAAATGAGGGGTTCAGAAGCAGAGTGGCGCAAGCCACAATGTCGGTTATGCCACTTTGCTTTTGAAAAATCAAAAAATTTTCACAAAATCAGAAAATTTTTACAAAAGCAAAAGTACTTTTGTGAAAAATTAAATTTTTAATTAAAAATTAATAGGAAAAAAGCTATTTTGAAAACTGGAAACTAATATTACTGATTTTAGAAGATGTACGTAACCGATTGCAGCAAAAAAAAAAAATTTTTTTTTAAATGTGGCTTACGTCACTCTGCTTCTGAGACCCTCAAATAATTTAGCCATTTTTTAATATTGACATTGTTTTTTTTAAATCTGGAACAAACGGAGTTCTTCAATTATGGCAGTACTCATTGATATTTATGACTTCTTGAAATGTCAATTTTGATTTAAGACTAATTTTTTTCTGTGAACCAGCTCAAAACAACAGTCAAAATCGCAAATTTGCAATTATCAGACTGCATTTTGAATTTAAAAAGAAAAAAATTTCTTTGTTGAGAAATTTAATTAATTTTAAGAACTAATTTTTATTAAATTTTTGCAAATAAAACGCATTTATTCATTGTCTTCTCCTCATTTCCAAAAAAAAAAAGGAACTGAAAAATAAAAATGAAAATATTTAATATTGCATAAAATCAAAATTGGGAGTTCAAAAAAAAAGACAAATTATTTTATGTAAGTGAAAGAGCATTTGTATTTATTATAAATCGTATAAATTATAGTGCTTTTTGTACTGTAATCGTTGTAATAAAGAAAAAAATTTTTAAGACAATATTCATTATATATAATATATACTTGTACATTTATAAATATTTATCCATATATTGTTTTATAACGCGAAAAAATTAGGGTGTAGTTTGCATCACTGCATGATATCATTTATAATATTTAATTGATTTTTTTCTTTTCCAAAAAGAAAGTTTTCACACAATGATCTAAGAATATTCCAAGTATTTCTCATAATTGGAATATTCTTAGATCACACATATTTCATATTATTATACAATTTGAATTCTAATTAAAAAACTAGATCCTTGACCCATTTCTTATTTTTTTTTTTAATATTTTCTATTTCTATTAACAAACATTGTTTTATTCTTTAATATATGTACATTATTTTATTGTGCTAATTTTCTAATAAATTAAAATAAGAGATTAAAAAATTCAAAATAAATGTGACACAATTAAATATTTAAAATATTTTAATTTGTAATTTCCTTTACATTTTTATTAAAATCTCAATTTTATTTTATAATTTCAAAGTACAATTTTAAAGACGCATTTTAAAAAAAAAGCCCTATTAGCACAAAATTTCTAATAACGTTGAAAGTTATCAAAAACCTTATACAAATTCACAAGATAATAGACAAGTACCTATAAACAAATAATTTTGTAATTTGCGTATATCTGCGATAAAAAAAATAATGGTTAAGAGACACTAATTATTTTTTTGTTTCATTTGACAATAAAAAATATAAATTAAGACAAAGATAGAAAAATTTTATGTCTATACTATTTTCTAGAACACATAGCAATCATATGTTGAAAAAATTAAGTACTTACCTACCCACCTATCTCTATAAATATAGGCTACCTTATAATACATAATATTTATTACGTAGGATTCTTTCTATTACTGTTTATACAAATAATATCAGTACATATATGAATATATATTTATATGAACATTTAAATTAAATACTATAATACACACATATGTATATCAAATCAAAAATTTCGATCTTTTAAATAAATTTTCAAATTGATTTTGATTGTTAGTTTAAATAATTAGTATAACAGAAATATGAAATATTTAACCTTCAAAAAGTGTTTAGTTAGCTACAATATGTTTATTTTTTTATATGTATACTTATTTTTTTATATTCAATGAACTAACAAAACGTTTTTCTTTTTCCATTTGAACGGTTCCTTGCTATTATAATTCATTAAATATAAGCAATAAATTTTATTTTTTTAATACTTATATAAAAACCATTAAAGTTCATTAAAATTTTCTGCCAGCAGAAAATTTTTTCACAAACTTGATTTGAGAATACCTATATACATAAATATTTTCTTCTTTCTTGATAATCAGTAAACAGTAGATCAGAATACAAAATAATTTGTTATTTATATATGTAGGTATATTATACATAAATAATATGCCTTCAGTACTTGTGCACTCAGAGATTTTATACAAAAATATTTTAATAATATAATTTTTTACAAAAAAAATAGCATTAGGTAGCTGTAGGTACCTAAATCGTTTCATTGTAAGCAAAATAACAATTAGTTTGGAAAGTGTAAGTAAAATAATATTGGATGAAAGAATGCTTTATTTATTGTTTAGTTCTATTATACCTACTCACTATCCTATGACAAGCGAAATTGTAAATTTTAAAGTATTTTGCAATTGAAATTGCAAAGCAATTACATATATAATTAAGTTAGTAGTAAGTTTAAATTATTGTTTTCATTTAAAAATAGATGAAAATTAAAACAATTTATATTTACAATAAGTCTTGCAACGCATTGTATTTTAAATATACAATGCCACTACTTACATATATACATATCTACATAGTGTGAAAATTAACTTGATCATTTTTATGTCTAAATTGAGAATTTAAATTTAATTTTTTTTCTTTTCTTTTAGGACAATTGCGATAGAAAATTTTTGAACTGTACATGAAATTAAGTGATTACCATAAGGCTACATATTTGTTAAAATATATTTAGATAAAATATTTCATCAGACTTTAAAAAAAAAAACATAAAAACAAAGAAAAAATTAATGATGTCTAGAAGTCGATTAAGACGAGGATGTTATTTATCTTTGGCCTGTTCAATTGGTTCAATATCATTAGCATGTGGTAGTTTATTACAATTACAATCATCCTCAGATAGAATTTCTATACAGCGAGGATTATTTATAACATCGTTAGGATTCTTGTATTTCATATCACTAACAGATTTCTTTAACAAATATTTGATTGAAACACCTCAAGGTATAATGTTTCGTAGGAAATATCGTTTAATGGTATCTGATGCTATGGACATTACTAATAAGTAAATTTAGAAATACATATTTTAAATATTAGTTATTAAAATTAATTTAATTTAAATATTCGTTTTTAAAGAATTGTTTCAGCAATACAGGCAACATTTTCATTTCTAGCTGGTTTAATTGTTTGCAAATCAACTTGTAGCAAATCATTTTTATATGCATCACATTGTGTTATGGAAGCATATGCTTGGTTTGGAACAGCATATTTTATGTATGATATTTGGTCAATGTACAAAGTTCATAAGCAAAAATTAACGGACAAATTAAAATTAATGAATTTATCATCACGCACAACAATAAAATCACAAATAACAAATAAAAATTCTGAAATGTCTTCAAGAAAAATAAATAATATTAATTATTTAAATAATCAGCACAACAATGGTCTATATGACAAAAGTACAAACGATTTTAATTCAAAAGAATTTTATGAAGATTTTGAATTAAGTGAAGATATAATAGATTCAATTCCAAAACGCAATCAAATATCTGATTTTTTAAATTATGTTTTTAAAAATCCTCTAATGATAATGCATCATATATTTATCGGAACTTTTGGATTTTTAGTCATTGTGGTATATTTTTTACATACATATAAAATTTTTATTATATATATGTACATATGTACTTTAATTTTTATATTTACTTTTAGTATATCCGTGGTGGAGGTGTTTGCATTTATAGTTTTATATATATGATGGAATTTTCTACACCCTTTGTATCTTTGAGAGGAATTTTAAGTAAACTTGGAATGAAAAACTCAAAATTGTACATATTTAATGGATTTGCGATGCTTATATCATTTTTCATATGTAGAGTTTTTATGTGGCCTTACGTTTTTCATTGGTATAGTACAGTTGTTAATAAGTCGATGTCCGAAGTAAGATAATCTTTTCATACACATACTAAAAATATTTGGAATTTTGTTTAGAAACATAATATAAAACGTATATAAAATTTTTAGGCAATAATGGAATTACCAAGAGGATGTCAAATCAGCATTGCGATTTTATTTTTCCCCCAATTATATTGGTTTTATTTGATGCTTAAAGGCGCCCTAAAGGTATGTATATACGAAATCTATATAATAATGAAAAAAAATCTTTATACTTCTGTTATTTCTTTATAGGTTTTCTTTCCAACTTCCTTGAAAATTGAAACAAAATCAAAAAATAACAATTTGTCACCAGAGACTCCCGATAATCCATTTTTACCAAATGAAAATTTAATTTCTAGTCATTTGCGAAAAACAATAAAATTGGAAAAGAATACTACAGAATAGATGACTATTAAGAAAGTAGTGGCTAAGCATAAATTTTACATGCTTATTTTCATGAAGTACAAAATTATATAGGCATAAAAAAAGAAGGAAATATAAAGGAAAATAAAACGAAATAAATAAATAACATAGGATGAGTTAATAACAAAAGGCACACAAAATTAATCATATAATCAGAATAGGATTAAATTATTTAATTAGCCAAATAAAATTTTAATTGTATTATGCAATAAATAAGACAACTACATTATATTCATTTTAGCAAAAACAAAAAGAAATTATTGAAAAAAAGACTTAAAAACATTAAAACTGTTTTAAATGAATATTTAAAAAAGAAAGATATGAGAGCGTAAAGTTATATCAACAATAGATAGGCTATTTATTCGAATAAATTTTTGCAAATTTTATTAATATTTTCTTTTCGATTTTATTTAAAAAAAAATTTATAAAATTTTCAACACTGAAATTAGTTGAGTTTGACTATCTTTTTAATTAAAATATAAACTTACTTACTTTAATACAAACTTTCATTTCAATTTTCATAGTTTCTACACAAATTGTATTTAACACCCATCGTTCAAAATAATGACACATAAAAAAATCAAAGTAATAAATTTTGTTAAAAAAAAAATAAAAAATAAAAGTAAAGTTAATGTTTTTAAATTTTGAGAATAATACGAATTTGATATTTTTTTATGACATTCCAAAAATTCTAAAATTCTAATTACGTATTGTATTTTAAAAAATTAACTTTTGAGAAATTTATTTTTAAAAGATTTTTACAATAAATGGTATTCATAAAATTGAAAATTTAAGGAAAAGAACGAACACTATAAATTTTTAAAATTTAAAAAAAAATCTTATTCAAATATGGAAAATAATGATAATTGGATAAAATTAAATTGAATAAAATTAATTCGAGAAATTAAATAAAAAACTAAATACACAAGACATTAAAATATGAATAAAGTTTCTACACCTAAACGTAGTAAACGCAAAACTAAACGTAGTAAATATAAAACTAAAAAGTAAAATAAAAGTAAAGTTTTTCTGAAATTTTAACTAGTATGTCTAGTATAACAATTTATTTTTTGCAGGAAACTAATATAATTTTCAGGAAATTGTAAAATATAACCAACCATTTTTGTTTTTGTTACAAATTTTATCGTAAACTCAAATTATTTTATAATGAAATTATATAAATAAAACAATTTTCAAAATGGCTTTAGACAAAATAAAATGCTTTTCTAATTCCATTGGCCCCCTAGAACTCAAACAAAACTAATAATAGCTCGCAATTATATTAAAAAAAAAAATATTAAAGCTTATAGTAGTTATATTAATACATTAATCACTCTATACATATATATGTATATATAAATCATTGTATAAGTATATGTACATACATACACACATATAAAAAAAAATATATGTTTAGTGTTTAGCTGTGATAAGTACGTAGCCTGTATGTTAAAAAATACTTTTTAAGTAAAAACAAGTAAACTGTAAAACTGTAAACAAGAATTTAAATTATTCAGAAATATTGTATTAGAATAAGAATCATAATAAATTTAATCTTAAAAAAATTAATCAAAATATATAAAACTCCTATTTCATGAAAAAGAATCTAAATTTTAATAGTTACTAATTTTGCACAATAATTTTTTTTTTGTTTAAGATTATTAAAAAATATTAGTAAGGTACTTCATAAAACAAATACCTTACCTATGACGAAACTTAAATATAATGTTAAATAAGTATGGCTTTTAATTTTGTAAGCCTCCAAAAAAAAAATTATTTAATATTTGATATTAATATAAATATTAAAAACATTTATTTAAGTTTCGGATAATTACTTTCATGTTGTATATAAAATTACTTCTTGCAATAAAAACTTCACTTATAAATTACATGAAAAATAATTATATTTGCATCAATATCAAATGTAATTCAATCACAAGCTGTTCTTCTATAGCCAAAAAATAATAACATTGTATTAAAATATAAATTATCTTTGAAATTTATAACTCAAAGAAGTATATATGAATTATGTATTTAAATATATACCATAAATATCTACATATTTATATATATACATATATATACAAATATATTTGTATATATATATAAATATATATGTACATTTATATATATATATATATATATATATATATATATATATATATATATATATATATATATATATATATATATATATATATATATATATATATATATATATATATATATATATATATATATATATATATATATATATATATATATATATATATATATATATATGCATATATACATATGTATATGTGATAAAAAGGAATAATCGTTAAAGTTGATTATTGCTAATTTTAAATTATTCATCCTCTTTTGTTTTAATTTCTATGAATTGATAGCAAGACTACACCTCACTTGTGGAGTTTACTCTAAATGTGATTGCAATTCTTCTTTTATTTTTATACATTTTATACAATTCGAGATTAGCCCTTTTTAAAATAATTTTTATTCATTTAGAAACAAATTCCACTTTGTCACTTTTTTCAAATTGTTTTAAACAAATTTTGCAATCTAAAATTTATAAAGGTTTTTATTTAAAATTTTTATATTTAGTTATTTAAGACTTAGTAATTTTTGTTCATTATTCCTAGATTATATAAAAAGATTTTGGATAAAATTTAAAAGTCTTGATATTAGAAAAAATGCTTAGAGCAAATTTTGCTCTTTCAGCTAATTATGTTGTAAATATTTAACGAAAAGTTTATATTTTAGTGGTTAAACCATATTTTGAATTATTCATTTCAAACTTCAGCGAGTAGGTATTCTTCTAGTAACTTAACCAAAACAAATCATAATTACACCAAAGTCATTTCGGACATAGATTTGTACATTGAAAACAATTAAGGAATAGCTATTTAATTTTTCGCTAAAGTTTCGCTTTAATGATAATTCCTTTTTTTCCACAGAAATATATATTTTATTATAATATATATAATAAAAATAAAATAAATATGTATATTTAAATATTACATATAATTGCGTAAGTATTACATGTTTTCAAAAAGAAAAAAACAATTCAAGCATTTAAAAATGAATGTTATTTTAAAATTCATTTTTTAAGTAATCATAAAAAATGTTACTAATAATCATTTATTTTAAATAATTTTTTTTATTAGTATTTTATTCAAAATAATGAGAGAAAAAATATTATATGAAATTATTGTATAATAATTCTTTTGACTGTAAAACAAAATAATAAAATAAGTTTTCCAATTTTTTATAAATATGTACATATGTATTCAAATTTTTAAAAAGCACAAATTTTTTATAAAATATTTTATTTTCTTTTTTAAAAATTTTAATTTTCAAGGGAAAAAAAATTTTTTTGAATACATTTACAAAAACATAATTATTAAAAGAAAAAATTAAAATTAAATACAGACATTATTATATAGTAGAAAGTTTTGAAGAAGCTTGTGAAACTTTTTTAAATATTGTTAAAAGTTGAAATCTATTCGAATTATGAATGTGGATTTTTTTTCGAAAATATGATAGAAAAAAATGTTGAAACATCTTGTATTTAGAAAATTATTATGATCATTAAAAAAGGCTATAAATATTGTATTATAGTATTAAATTATTGTGAAAAATAAAAAGTCAAGTGTAAAGTTGTAACCTAATGCAATTTTATTTCATTTTTGTATGTATTTTGTTAAACTCATCCACAAAATATTGGTGTTTATTAGAAATTTAATAGATTTCCAAATTTTGTTAAGATATTATTGCACTAACAGAAAAAATGTCGACAATAATTTTAAATTTTAATAAGTGTAGTTTTTAAGTTAGAATATTATCAGATCCATATCAAATTTTCAAAATATTCCTAGTCCTAGCAGGCCAGCCCTAGTTATATTTTTTTAAAGCCATTTGAATCTGCATTAAGGCAATTTTAAAATGCAGTTGAATTTGATTAAATTAATTTACCTTTAAAACTTTTGTTATTTTGTTTCCGTTACGGCTTTATGAGTTTTTATGCAAACTGGTATCCCTTATTGCATGTAAGATCATAATATATGTACATACGACGTGTAAATGAAAATCGAACAACATAAGGTTCTGAAAAGCAAATTACTCTTTAAAATGTCAAAATATTTTTTTCTCAAATAATTGTGTTAAGTTGGAAACAGAAAAAGAGCAATTTTCTGCGACGAAATATCGGAAATCATATAGTATTAAATGGAACAGCCTCAAATCAAGGAGCATTACCGTTTCGATACGCATACCGAACCGCCAGCAGCACAATAACCTAATGTTTTTTTTTACATTATTTGTTTTCATCAGTATGTGACATATGCAAAATATTTTAAAATTGATTATACCGTTCCATTATTGTTCTGGGTAAACAACAGAAATCGTCCGCCGTTGCCGTTTCTCGCTTTGGTTATGTTTTTACAAGAAACATTGCAATTGTTCGGAAATTTCAAAATTCTTTTCAAATAACTTCGTCACTTTTTCTAATGTTTCATTTAACTTACATAATATAACTAAACTTTTTTCGTTTTGAAATGTAATAAAGATAGTAAAAGAAAGCGAAATAAAAAATACATAAGTACATAATATGCACATACAGTTGTATGTGCCTGTTATTTTTCTTGATTTCTGTAATTATATTAACATACTTCACAATTAATTTCAATTTTTCTTTCTTTGTATTTTAAGAAAACCAAAAGACGAAAACAAGCTTACATGAGAAACTATTTAACTTATAAAAAAAAAACATATTTCTTCCCAATGACATCATATTTTAAACATCAAAACTATAGTAGGCCTTGTTATTGTTATATCAGACTATGGATCAGCACAATTTATTGAAATTGAATAGAATTGAAATCAGTTTTTCAGTTTATTCTCTCCATTCTAAAGGAGAAGTGGTGGTAATATTATGATTATTAAAACGTATTTGGTATAAAATAAACGTGTTTAAAACAAAAAAAAAAAAATATTTTAAAAAATCATAAATATTTTATAATTAAAAATAAAAACCAAATTGTGACATTTATAAATTTATTTAAAATAAAAAATTGTGAATTAATAATATTCTTTAGTGACTACTGAAAAAACATCGTACATACACAAAATAACTTGAAGTCTCTATAGTGAAAAAAAATTCTGACACCATATTGGAATTGAACAAGCAGCGCGTTTGTTAATTTCAATTTGTATAAACGTCAAAAAATTACAAAAAAAAGAAAATTACAGAAATTTTTATTATAAATTAAAAAAATTTTAAATTTCTAGAGTTTATTTAAATATTTTTATATAAATTTAATAATGGTAAGATAAATTTTGAAAATATTACTCAAAAATAATATTTTTCCAATATTATAAGCGCTGAAGAAAATTTATTTTGCCTGAAATTACAGAGCTTACTTATTATGATTTTGTGTTTAGAGTGAAGTTTTACAAAAAAAAAAATTTTAAAGAATTCAATATTTAATCAAAATTAAGATATTAAGTGGTTAATAATTATGCATATTCATGTATTGTTGATAAATATTAATTATATTTTCAAAATTCCATTAAATATTGAAATTTTTATAAACAATGTTACGTGAATTTGCAAAAATTATTACTTTTTTTTTTTGACATTTCCTTATAAATATATATGTATATATATATATATATATATATATTTTATATCCATATATTTTTTTTTTATATTTTATTTGGTCTTTGGTCTAAAGTGTTAAGAAATTTAAGTATGTATTAACAAAATTTTAACATAATCGCGTACCTTACCTTCTATAAAGAGTGGTCGATAAAATCTGCCTCATTTCTTAAGTTTTTTTTTTTATTCTAATAAAAAGCACGTGTTTTTAGTTTATATTTTTTATTCTTATTGATATTTTTCAATTAAAATAAACTTAGCAACTTTAAAATTCTTTATCTTAACTCATTTGTATGTAATTCAAAGTTTTGTTATCGTTATTATTATTATTTATTTTGTTTTTGTTATTATTGTTTATAATTTGCAGCAAAATTGTAACTCTAAATTCTTATTTTTTTTTAAGTTAAAGCACAGTCCTAAGGATGAAATAAATTTTAGTTCTTGTGACATGCAAGTATTTTTGGTTTATAAGATGATTTTTTGGAAACTATAATCTTTGGAAAATTAAGATAGAATGAAGATAAAATGTTTTGTTTACATTTCAAAAATATGTTTAAACTAAAATTTCATAAAATGTTTAATATACCTTTATATACCTTTCTATCTTATCTTATTTTGCGTTAATTACATTCATGTTAGTATGAATATTTTTCCAAAGAAATGGTGTGAAAACTTTTCAATTAATTGTAGGTAATAATACAATTAGCAAATAACACCGAAACTATTAATTGAGAAAATTTTGTCGAAACTAGCAGTAACCTACATATTAATCTAAATGGTAGGCACTTATTGAAATTTTCTAATTTGGTTACATTCCTTTTCAGTAGACACATTTACTTAGGTAGATAGTTGACACCTACATAAGGCGAAAATTCCAAACTTTTTAGTCAAATTTCACTTTTCAAAATAAAACAACTAAATTTTGTATGCTTATTATTGTAAAGGACGTGATTTTTTAAAATAAACCAGATTCTGCCAATTCAAATTGTAAAAAACGACTAGTTTTGCTTGATATTTTTCGTCAATGTGAATGTATAATATTCACTCAACTTGCTTCCCAACAGCTACCTGAAAATTAAATACAGTATGAAGCTTCTACATTTATTTTATAAAAGGGCTCATTTTTGATTATGTCAAATGAAATTCTGTGCTCCAAATCAATATTTATGTCTTAAAAATCCTGTGATGCTTAATTTATTTTCATAAAATGAAATGTTTAGATAAAAACTGCTTAAAATTCATTTATATTTTAATATAAATTAGTGTAATTCAAATTATTTTCACAAAATTCTATTCTTTTTGCATGCTCTACTCGTATTATTCTTATTTACATTTTGTGTTTTCAGTTTAAATATTTACAATCTATGAATGTATAAAATATTTCTGTCTTTCTAAACAAAATATTGGAGATTGTCGTTTATTATAAGAAATTATAAAAGGTTTTATTAATTTTTTTATTCAAACAAGTAGGTAGGTACATAGGTACTTGATTTTTTTTTGTGGTACCTTTTAGGACTAACCGATTTCCTATAACGCTTCAAAATTATACTTTTTGTGCTTAGGTTTCAGTCATTTTAAATAAAACCAAAAATTATACAATGTAAACTTAATTTGGATAATGTTTGATTGTATTTAATTAAATTTTTAGTATCCAACTGGAATTGTGTTATAAAAACTATAACAATTTATTGTCAACATTTTATTTTAAAAGAAAACTATTTTGTTATAATTAAATAAAATTGTGATATTTTATGTTGGTACCTACTATAAGTATGTATAAATATAATAAATCTATCTAATAATCACAATGTATATGCACTGAAATTAAGAGTTTTAAAACAACTGCAGTTCAACAAACCTACAAGACTGTTCAATGCCTTCATAAAATTATTGAAGTTATCATGTAATTCTAGTTCAAATTATAGTAAATAATAGTTTTAAAAGCAACCTAAATGTTAGATATTATATTTCTAGTCACCTCCTGTCATGATGTTTAGAAAATGAAAGTATAAAACATTTTTGTTTTCATAATATAGGATCTAAACTGTTAAACAGCTCTTGCATTACAGCAGGATACATTATCATTTTATATTTTTAAAATTTACTATTTGAAATATAAAAATACAATGATACTAAAATAACAGTAAAATTTATGAGTAAATCTTGAATATTTTATAAAATAACTAAATCAAATTATCATTCTCTTATACTTATGTATTTATATTTAAAATTCATTCCAATTGGGCATATTTAAATATTTAAATAATACTTATGTATATAAAATGTTTCTATTTTGTAATGTCTTAAATTTATATTTAAATTCTTTATTATTTAAATTAATCAGTGGAATATTTTTTTTTTCAATTTTAAATTGCAAACATATTGTAGATACTTGTATGAGTATGTAAGCTGTTCAGAATTCATAATTCTGCTGTTTAATAATTTGAATTCAAAATTATATATGCAATACGTACGTATATGTAAATTTACCTAATAGCGCATTTTTTAAAAGAAATTTACGAGGTCTATCAATAAAAATGTAAATTTAAGTATTTTCAAAGAATGTCTGTTTGTATTTGTATGTAAATATGTATAAATCGCAAAATAAAAAATCAGCTGATAAAATTCACATCTATATAATTATTGTTATGCACGTTTTCAACATAAATAATTTTTACATACATCTATGTATATTGTATACTTATATAATTTGAATAGTTTAAAATTTTTAAATTTCATATTCATTTGCTATACGTACTTACATACTTTTAATTTATAGATAACTGTGATGTTTAGCTATACGAATGCATTGCGTATCTAATGTTATAAATATACAGGGATGTATTTTTATTTTGAAATATTTATGTACATATAAATAGGACCGAAATTTTGTTTACTTCCATGAGCACATATGTACATCAAAATTTTTAGCATTTGCCTCTCACAAAGTTTTTTTTTTCATTAACTTTATTCATAGCTTTTATTTTAAATTTAAAATTAAATCCACATGTTTAAATGTAAGTTTTATGTTGGATTTTCTGCGGCGACTCCATTCTCAGGATAAAAAGAGAGGATTTTTTTTACTTTAAAAATAAAAAAAATATTTTTTTTAAATAACAGTGCTTTCCGTAATTCCTAATTCATATAATTAAACAATTGTACAAAATACAATTAAAACGCACTTAAAATTAATTTTTTTTTGATATTTTTTTTATTCCCAACTTGGAAATAAACTGAGCAGCTTGCGAATAAACAGTAAAAGTTGAAAAGGTAACAAAGATTTTTAGTGATAAAGGTTATCTTGTAACCCAATAGATTTAAAAAAAGGTTGTTTTTTCGATCAGTCAATGCAATCAAAAAAAATGTTGTGTTTCGAAAATGCAAAAACTTTCAATTTTTTTGGTCAGTATGAAAAATGTAAAAGAGAGTGTTAGTGATTGACTTTTGAAAATTATTATTTTTCAAAACCAACAATTTTGCAAGTCTTTAATAAAATTTTGAAGTATTTCATTTTTGCAGTCTACCTTCTCTATCTCGTACTTACTCTGTACAACACGAACTTGTCTTTAACTTCAACTGTTTATTTCTGCTTGATAAACGCATTTTAAAATATTTGTTTAATATTTGTCGACTCTTTTTCGACATTTAAAGAGTTTGAAATATAGAAGTTTTTAGTGGAAAATTTATTTACTAAACTTATGCGTTCTAAATGTTTACAATTTTTATATTTTTAAATGTTGTTCTAAAGCTAGACCCGTTCCGAGACTATTGCCTCATCATTAGTATATGCACTACTGATTGTTACAAAAATTATTATTAAATATGGAATGAAATGAATGCTTTCATTTTATTTGAGTAACTTCATTTTTGTTACGACTTGTCATTTCCAAGTTTCTCTTTTCAAATTTAGTAAAAGTTTAATTGAAAATCGATTGTTATTTCTACGAAATCATTAACTATATTAAATAAAATTCACAAAAAGATAATCATAACTCTCTGCCAAAAATTTAACTTAAACTTCTTAACTGATTTAACTACTAGTTCAATTTAATCATTATTGCTCGCATAACTTTTTTTTAATAATATTATTCATTTTTTATTTCTCTGAAATGCGTGTAACATGATGTAGTTATAGATATTTATTTTTAAACAAAAAAAAATTGAAATAGTTATCTTCTCATTTTACTTTTTTAGCCATATTCAAGAAATAATTTACGTAAATTCTAATGTATAAGTTAAATATTTTAGTTCTGTTTGAGAACGAAACTAACCAATTTTTCAGGGAAAATGAATTCCAGAAATCTCAATTAAGAATCAAATTTACATTTTTTTAGAAATTAAGGAATAAAGATTAATTCCCTCTTGATATCTCTCTTAAAATAAGTACCCAATTGTTTAAAGTAGGTTTTCATACTTCAATTTGCTGCCTATTATGTGCTGACCAAATGTCGAATATTATTGTCGAATATTGACCAACTTACTATATTTTAATAGTAACTATACTGTTTGGTATATGAAGATTCCTATTATTCAGTTCTTAAATAATTGTCACTCTGCATTTACTTAAAATATAGACCGCTCGGAAATTACTGGCTGTAATGAAGTGCGACATTTAGTGCAATTTTTTTTTGCTTCCGCAGGAAATTTTTTTTTTATTAATTTAAAA